CTTCAAGTGTGTCCACCTCGCCCCACATCTTAGTGTCATTAGCAGACTTGGATAGTGTGTTTTCCACCCCCTCATCCAAATTGCTGATGAAGATGTTAAACAGTGCAGACCCGAGAATTGAGCCCTGGGGTAACCCACTGCTCACATCTCGTCAGGTTGAGTACAACCCATCCACCACTACTCTCTGGGTGCACTCCATCAGCCAATTTTTTACCCATCCAACTGTGTAAGCATCAATGCCACAGTCACTTAATTTATTGATGAGGATGGGGTGAGAGACAGTGTCAAATGCCTTCTTAAAATCTAGAAAGCCTATGTCCATGGTGACACCATCATCCAAGGATTTAGTTACTTGGTCATAAAAGGCAATGGGGGAGTGGGCTGCACAGTGGTGAAGAAAAGGGAGACTTCAAGCTGTGAGAAAAGCCAGGGTGCTCCACAACCTACAGGAAAGTTACTAATAAACCAGTTTTCTTTTATCCTGGTTCTGGGGGAAGGATCCTGCTTTTTACTGCACCCTCTCTCTTTGGGGAATTAACTTCTTGTTCTTCCATCATTTCAAAGCATAGCAGGAGAGTCCCAGGGAGAGAGATTTTGTTATTCACCCCCACCTGGCCACAATGACCCCCAAATCTCTTTCAGCAGTGGTGCTAGCAAGCATAGCACTGCTGAAGCTATAAGTATGCTGCAGGTCCCCCCCCCCCCCCCCCCCCCAAGGTGGAGCTCCTTACATTTATCGGTATTGAACAACATCAGGTTTGTATCCGCCCACTTACTAAGTTTATCCAAGTCAGCCTGGATCACTAGCCTGTCCTCAGGTGTGGACACTATGCCCTAAAGTTTAATGTCATCGGCAAACTTAGTCAGTGCACTTCTGACACCAATGTCCACATCATTGATAAAGATGTTAAAAAGAACAGGTCCAAGGAGAGCTCCTTGGGGGATGCCACTGGTCCCAGAGCCCATAATGATTTGCTACCATCAACCACTATTCTATGGGTCTGACCTCAGAACTAATTTCCCAGCCATCAGACTGTGGTGTAGCCAAGGCCACAGTTGGCCAATTTTTCCATGAGGAGGTCATGGGACACCAGATCAATGGCTTTTTAAAAGTCCAGATATATGATGTCAGTCTCTTCTCCCTTGTCCAGGTGATATGTCACCTGGTCATAGAAAGAGATGAAATTGGTCAGGCAAGACCTACTGTGGAAGAAATTAAACTTTGTGTTGTGTTTGGTATTAGAATTTACAGACTCAGTTTGAGTTTATTGGCGACTATACCATACGATTGTAGGGAGAAGATCTAACAGAATTCCTCCTTTTTACAAGTTAATTTTTTTTTTATATACCTCAAATTGTTTAAACAAAGCATTCTTGAAAAGAAAGTCAGGGGTAAATTATAACAGTTGCTTGCTTAGCAGCACATTTTGTTTTGAAAACTGTTATTACCTTTTTTGTTTTTAGGAAAGGAAGAACATTTGTTCCAAATGAACTGTGCATGGACTCATAATAAGCAGAAGAGGTTAACACTACCCATGAGAAACCTGTGCTGGCTGCCCCTCAGGATGTTGCCCTCAGCCAGATTATCCAGAAGGGTGTCCTTGATAATTTTCTCCAGAATCTTACTGGGGATTGAGGTCAAGCTGATTGGCCTGCAATTCCTTGGATCTACTTTCCACCCTTTCTTAAGAGGGGTACCATGTTGGCCTTCTTCCAGTCTTCAGGTACTTCACCTGAGCACCACAAGTTTGCAAATATTTTTGTCAATGGTTGAGCTGACACCTGCTAGCTCAATGAGTTGTACCATGAGTACTTTAGGGTGTAATCTGTCAGGACCAGCTGACTCGAAGGTATCCAGCCTCTCAAGGTGA